GTGTTGTTTTCTTGGTATCTTCATCCATCACAGATGATTACAGTATGTTTCTCTATCAGTTGGTCATTCAGTAAATATCTCAAAACCTTGTCAGTCTAATTGATGGTTTAGCGACACAATCATGCATGCAAATAATCAGTATAAGCAGTCGAGCAAATCTCCTGCAAACTGAAAACATGAATGTCGAATTTACCCCAACACTGACTAAGGTTCAAGCCATTATCATAGACATGAGTTGGGAGTGTACTCCCCTTGGTTACAACTTATGTACTCCCTGATAATCACATGGGCATCACTCACGGTTAATCATCTTGTAAAAACGTATTTGGCCGAGTACATCTTACAGCACCACATCACTTAGTAATGTGACACAGGCTTAACTGATTTCAGTAACTTTTAATCACCATATCTCATTTAAATCGTATTCTGCCCGCATACGTGCAACTAACTTGTATGCCCATCAGCCGGCAAGTATAAATATAAATAGTCTATTGCAGATCAGAACATTGAGTCTAGAGCATGTCTCTTACGAACACACTCATGTTTAACGATTTTTCCTAGCTATCTGTCCAAAATCCATATAATTATCACTCATGTATTTAAATTTTATTTTGATAACCATTCATGTGTATTAGTAGTATTACTAAATTCTATCACGGTCAAGTAAAAATGAGGTTGAGAAAATCTCCCCGTAACTAAATAAACCGTATCAAACTAACTGGAACACTAGTTGGAATTCTTCTCCACGGTATACTTTTGTTCCTTCAGTTAGCCTACTAATACAGATGCAATTGGAATTCAACTCTTATGGACAACTTACCGGCATAATCGTTATCTGATTTCATAATTTAAACCAAAACTAATACCAATATTAACATTTCTACAATATTCATTACTTTAATATTTCTAAACACAAAATAATTACTGCCTATAAGTTAAGTTATTAACACTCATCGTTTTATTATTATTATTGTAATCCCATTTTTTGTAGTTCAAATAATCTTCAACCAAATTTTCATTTTAAGCGTGTTGATCATGAAAGCAGATATTTTAAGATTATTACATGTATTTCCCGACCAGATGCTGCCGTCTTTTTGATTTATCTTTCAGCTTATCAATACCCGGAGGATCTTTATTAACCTTGGTAACCTCCGGCGCGCGACGATCCCATCCAATTTGGTATCGAACCAACGTCACGTTGATTCTAGTGGGAGAGTAGTGTAGTGGCATTGGACAATAGCCACACAATCCACAAAGCTGTGAACACGAGACTACTCAGAAAATAGATATTCAATATTTAACTCGGGGAAATACCTAACAATGGAGAAGGCGCGGAGAATGAATTGAATGGACTGGAGTTGATCGAGTGGCATGGCTCGGCCATGCAGGCGTGGTCTCTGCTGAATGTTACCTTATATCTTCTATTCATATTAAATATATTGTTCTTTCTCTAGCCTAACCTTGTTCTACATAATGTATTGGTAATTGGTGCGATACAGTGAGTTGGTGTAGTCGATGGTGTGACTTCCACGTATGATCTTATAGATTAGGCAGTTATATTATGACGAATCTACAGATTTAGGATTAGGTCTATTATTAGAGCAGTACTTATATCATCGTGGACCATAGTTCCTTAAGTCGTCATGCGGTAAATAATGAATAATTAGTAACCACCACGTACCTGATAAACAATTAGTTTACTCCTGACAAAATGGAATTTATCTCCAAGGATCAAAATAATCATTTTCAACAGGCAGTTAAAGTAGAACAATTATCAAAAACTCCATACCACAACCTCGAGCCCACTCAAACAGGACATTATTATCAATGGTCTTAAACTATAAAATAAAAAGTTCATAAACATAAATATAAACGAGCGTCAGGTAGTGAACTTCTAGTGAAAGAAGATTGTGCAATACAAAAGTGATATACCGTAGAGAGCTTCAGTCACTGGAATAATTTCCTGTATGGACATAGCGTTATCAGTTACGCACAGATCGAGTCGAATAATCAAGACACGATAACTTGGTAACCACACAGCACTGATCAAACCAAAAGTACGTGTAAAAGGTACGAATATGAAATATCTGAACAATTCCCAATAAGGTCTATATAGTCAATAGACACAAATATATATCAGTTCACAGGCAAGCAGTGAACTATTTGACAATGATTATTTCGGAATTCAAGAATCATGGAGAAGTCTACGTGTTAGACTGCTTGGAAGCTGAGTAATCGAAACCTTCAGTAACAGTACCTGTCTCTAAAAATTGGAAAACAAACAGCATGTCCCTCCTAAAAATATAATAATATATTTTAAAACGGTGAGAGAACCATAAACAAATCAATTCTTGATGTGACAAGGTCTCCAAACGATGAGAGACTGGTTAAACTAATTTTAACACCTGGTCATACAGAAGGACTAGAGGTAACTTGATCGCAATTTTCAAAATAACCCAATAATAACTTTACATCCATCATGCTATTATTTTTCTTATCTTGTAAATCAGAGTATTAACATGAAAGATTTAAAAAGATTACTATTTCCAGTACCAACTGGTCGTCTGCTAATCGCTGATACTCCCATCTAATTTAAAATGAATGAAAATATTTCAACAAGTTGTTGAAGCTCAATCTTTTACACCTTCAAAGGAAGGTTAGGTAAAATAATAGACCTAAGGATGTCGCAAGTATTTGAACTGTGACCACCCCTTAACCAGTAACATCTGTAATCGATGTGTATCAACCCAGTGAAATCAGAAGTCAGAAGCTCAGGGGTTCGAAGATATATTTGATAGGCTATCGATATGTCGAGTAGGGACTGATCCAAGCTGGCTAACAGTTGTAGGGGAAGTGAAGTACAGCGTGTCAACTCGTGATCTGGTTCGGATGCGTGACCGAAAGCATCCAGCTTTGTGAGTCCACTAAAACTAATGCTGTCAGCACCAAGTGTCGAAGGCTTACAAAGCTACTGATCTATGGGATTTATTTACCACTACAGACCCCTATCACCATGGCTGCCCAAAGGTATCGAGGCTCCTTTTCCTACGAAAAAGGAAGTCAAAACAGAGTGTCTAAGAGAACAACATTCATTATAGCTTGAGTAGATGACGAAAATGGCCTACAGTCCACTGACGGCTTGTGATCTTAACCAGTAGGTCGGTTAACTCTGACCGATAAATCCAAATAAATTGTAAATCAATAATTTGACTTAATCGCGCCAGTAAAAGTAGATATCTTTGAGATGCTTGACAAATAAATATTTTATTCACGGGTTACCATCTACTACTATTATCATCTGTGACTAATGCATGTTTCATAAGTTACCGGTTATCATTATTATCTCTCACTAACTACCTTCTAATTCGCTGAATATCATCTCTTTTTCCCTCTTATCCAGTTCCGACTTCTCACACTTACTGTGTTACCAATCAGTTGACTTACTTGTCATTCTTGAAATAATCGTTTTCTCTTAGCACTTGAGTTGTCACTTTATTATTTTAACACAACAACCAAACAAAATCCTAGACAGTAATGTGATAAATATTTAGTATTTAGAAACCCTACTACACAGAGACAAACACACCCACTCAAGCTACCAGATGTACGAAACCACAAATAACTATCGAACTAGTTAAACTACCGCCCACAGAACATTATGAAATACCTGAGACGGTACTGAGATAACAAGAAGCGAACGCGAAAAAAATTGTCGGTGTATACAAGTTTGTGATGAAGATATTGAGTTTATTTTTTAGTCAAATGATGGACTTCACTGGCGGCTGAGCTAGTCCAAGCGAATTCCCTAGAGTCCTTTAAGAGGAAACATGGCATATTCTTAGGGACTAAGGATAGTATCTTCAGTCTTCAGTCTTCAGTAATAAGGATAGTAGGTTGATGAACCTGTATTAATCCTGACACCTTGCTTTCCAGTGAAGGTCCAGCTCCTCCTTGAAAGTATTCACTGATGGGGCTGATACCACTTGTTCGGGTAAGGCGTTCCAATCATTGACTACTCGATGAGAAAAACGGGACCCCACTTTAAGTTTATTAGATCTTGTTTATGAACCTTCTTGCTATGACCGCGGAGATTATTAGAGCTGGAGGGAGCAAAAAGATAAGACATATTAACACCCAAATCATAATTAAAGATACGAAATGCCAGTATAAGGTCACCTCGTGTCCTACGATACGACAAGGGGAAAAGATTTAGGCGTTTTGAACGCTCATCGTAAGGGAGTCTAGGAAGACCCTTCACTAATTTCGTTCCCACATGCTGAGCACACTCAAGGGAGTTAGTATCCTTTACCAGACACGGGCTAGCTGCCTGAATACAGTACTCTAAGTGTGGTCTTACATAGGTGGGATATAAATTTCGAAACGTTTCCTCGTCAAAAGATTTGAACGCTCAGCAAAGTGACCATAACGCACAAAAACCTTTGACAGCGACTGCTTTGCAATGCGTAGTTGTTTTTATATCATGACTTAATACTACTCCTAAGTCTTTATGCTCTTGAACGCATGGAAGAGGTTTACCCTCAATAGTGTAACGGTAACTATTACCGTGACCGATGTGCATTAGCACACCCTTCCTAGCATTGATTTCTAAGCCCCACTCTCGAGCCCATCTAACTAAATCGTCTAAGTCAGCTTGAAGATCCAGATGATCAGCAGCTTTTTTATTGTTCTCCAGATTTTTACATCATCCGCAAACAATAATGTCGACGACCTAAGCAACAGCGGTAACTCATTAACCTAGAGAAGGAAGAGCAGAGGGCCTAAGATGGTGCCTTGGGGTACACCACTTTTGACTGACTTCCAATCGGATAGCGTGCAGCGTGGCGACGAGTCGAAATTGACTATGAACACCGCTACCAAAAACACGTGCCAAATAAATCCATAAAATCCACGAGAAGCCAAATATCGGAAGGCAGTTAATGGACCAAGTCGAGATATATTTGCTGGCGATCTCATGGTATCGAAAGGATACCGAGATCGTGCCAGGATACAAGCTTGGTTACAGAACGTAACCGAATTCGCGCGAAGTCACAATCAAAGTGTAAGAATAAGAATGGAAGCACAATATAGCTGTCATTAGCACAGTCAAACAAAAGCACATTAAAACAAGCACTGGTACAGTTGGTTATAATAATAATTGTTTTTATTAAACCAGTCGTGTTCTCGTGATAAATGTGAGTCACTACAAGCGTTCCGTTGACCCTCACACTCTGTCTGCGGTCACATAAGATATTTCCTATCCACTCATGTGATTTATCAATTGCTTTTTCCACTTATCGATAACACACCTAGGTTCCTGCCTGAAGGCATCGGTGATCCACTGCTACTAGATACGGAAGCCCATTAAGCGAAGGTTTCTTCTATTCCATCCAAAACCATTTGAGGTTTGTCCGGAGCGGTTTTCGCACCTAGCGTTACGCACACTTTTTATTTGTAATATCAAATTCCAGTACAGTCTTATTTCACTGCTTCTAGATGATAATATGTCTACACGTAATCCATCCCCACCTCCAGATTATGACGGAAATGCCAAACAACTTGATATGATAGGTGACACAACTTACAGCAGACGTTGGCTTTTCTCGTTGTTAATTAAACTTCTGGAAAAGGTTAATAGTGAGACCTCTGCAACTTGGCTGAGTTCCGACGAAGATCCCTCTCGTAAGGAGTCAGAAACAGAACTGGAAGAACAGCTGTGCTGTTTGTGGGATCTAACTGTCAATCGTGATGTCCTGAAATTTCTCGACGAGTTTGAAATCGTCTCGATATTTAACAATGCTCTGGGGAGTGTCCAAAACCCCAGGTTACTGGTGAGATAGCACGTTTGTGCGAAAGCTTATTAGTAAAGGAAATTATAGTAGGAATTTTGGGAAATCTAGCTTATGATCCACTTGCCTGCCGTAAAATGAGTGAAAGTGAATCGTTTATGTACGTTTTTATACTTATAACATTTGACTTAGAGTAGTGTCCGTGTAATAAACTTGCTTTACACAAGAGATACGCCTGCACTAATTGAAACATGCAGGTTAGTTTATGTTCTCTGTATACATGTTCCTAAGATTAATTCAAACTGTGCTTGCTTCAGATGAATATAGAACACCTTGGTTAAATGAAATCCGATTTCAGCCAGAGTTTTTTGAAAATATACTTTTTATTTTGAAAAGCTCAACCAATGGTATTCTTTCATGGATGTATTGTCTACACTCCTGATAGCCACACTTTTAATAGGTACAGTACGTCTCATTGACGTCATTACACGTGAAGATGACAGTTTAGCTGAGGTTTGGTGTGGTGAGCATCTGCTTACTGCTATATTAATAGCCCAGCACCAAATGAAGTAATTTCCCATTTCCCAATTAATTATTTTCGCACAGGTGGCTTTATGGCAGCGAAGTAGAAATCATTCATCGTCTACTTTATACATTTTCCTCTAATGTAAATGGTGTGTCAGCCCTAGGTTAGTTTCTTTATTTCGGTGAAAACTCATTAATAGTGTTCACTTTTAAAACTTGTATCTAACGTGTTGGCATATATCTGTTTACATTGCAGAATGACGAGATTGTTGCATAGGCATGTAAGATCTGTGGTGATGAGTAGCCCTCTTTCATCGGTAATTCATTCGAACAAATTTTTAAGTATTCTGTGCAAAACCTTAATACCGTCAGATGTCTGCTGACCACGATATAATTAGAGATAATTTGTGAACATTAAAGACTCGTCGATTGGATTGTGTTAGTCAGCTGTTTTTTTTGCTATCGATTCATTGCTCTAATATTTACATGATAGCCACAATAAACAAATACGCAGAAATTTGTTTGAGTTGATGGCTTAGTCGCTGATTCTAGGGATCCTATGCTTAAAAGATTTCTACACCTCCTTAATATTATAGATCATAGCAATGCTTTATCTTTAGATGTAGTTTTTAGCTTAAACGGTATGACGAATTGTTATGATTAGCACTGCAGGTGTCTGAATTTAGTGACTAGTTCCCTAGACCTAAAGATGCAAGAGTACGATTATATTCTGGTGGATGAAGTGCAACCCTCAAGTAAATCTTAACTTGCATACTTGTATATATTCCAGTACTTCATATCCACAAACTACGTCCTGGATTGTGTTGAGGAATTAATTCTTTATAACGTCTGATCTAGGACTGTAACTGTGGTGGTATGTAGTTTAGATTGCCAAATAAATTAGGCCTAAATACTCAACTCGTATTTAGAGCTTAGTTAAAATTGACATTCGGTAGTTATAACATACTGTTAAAGAGCTCACATCACGTGTTCTTATGCTGTTTCTTTGTGATTTCGAAGAGTTAGAGGAAACGTGATAGGCAAAACAGAATCCTTCTTCACTCATAAGATTTGTCAAGTACTGTGAACCTGATCGATGTATACAGGAATATATTTATAAACATTCTGTTATAATAACTATGATTCTTTTACCTAGTGTTATTATAATCAGCTAATTTCAAGTCATAAAATTCACTTCATTTGCATTGACACGTTTGTTTTCGTAATTTGTTCTTTACTCCCAATTTCCTCCTACTTCCAACTAAGAGTTTATTTCTGGTTATCTATACACGTGAAAATCGATTCTAACCATGGTTTGAGACTTGGTCTGTTGTGTGCATTTTAAAAGACGTCCGCACGAAAGAGTTGTGATTTTTTTAGCTTACATAGAGATGGTTTTTAATACCAGCATTTAAGGTTTTTCTTTCATTCCTTTATGATCCTATCGTCAATAGTAAATTGATAAAGTTTTAGGCGACACAGGAACCTGACATAAGATGGATTCATCTCACTGTCCTCATATCTAATCCAAATTACTTGGTCCTAACCAAAAGGTACCGGTGTTAGTAAGATGAAATCTTGAGATCTCTTTCAGTAAACACATGAATGGAGATGTAGTCATTAAATATAATTTAAAGTGACTATTTAATACTACTTTAGAAACATTTAGGTGAATGTATGTCATGTTAATTCAAGTACACATGTGTCTTTACCCAGAAGTACACAAAACATGACTGAACACTTATACAAAGACTTAAAAAATGAATTGGTCAAGTGTATTTTAGGAGAGACTAACTAGGTGCATATTCCGGACACAGCAACGTTGTATTTGGAGTTGCATGTAGTCTTTTGTGAGAGTATTTTCTGAAATATCTGTCAACCTCTAATTGAAGATAGCTTTAGTAAACATATTTCAACAGATGTATTCAAAATAGTTTGAATAATTCATTTTGCTTAAATCCAAGTTAGAGAAATTGATTCTCAGGTCGGCTCACACTTGTTGTGGTATTACTTTAGGAAGTATGAAGGCTTTTTTGTTTCAATAAGTATATCGATTTGTTGTTTGCCATGTTTTGCTGAAATACAAACGTATTGACTTTTTACGTCAGTTGTTTAACTTGATCTAATATTGGGCTATAGAGTGCTGAACAAATGCAGGAAAAACTCGCTGAGTGCTACTTTAAGTCACATGGTTTTGTCAGTCGTCACAAATATTAAGGGCTTTTTAACTAGTTGAGGTGGCGTGAAATGCTAACCAAAACATTCTTTATTATTTTTTAAACTAAATATTTGTGAGTGCTTATGTATTGCTTTGATTATTTAACGTAGTTTCAAATTGTTAGGATCACATTATGTTATGTATGAGATCCCATAACCAAAATAAGAAGTATTTCATTTTTATTGTTTTTATGTGTACGTTACTCCAATGCGAACTCCTATGACATGTCCATCCCTAATATTTATTTTATTTTTTTATTTATTTAATCACATAAACATTGGTACAAGGAGGCACCAAATAGATATGTGCCACACAAATCTCATTCGATATGTGTGAGGGCTGTGATAATGCCCGGGTGCCCAAACCGAAGCAGGTGGTTTTCTTAGGGGGCCACTCCCCGAGCCTTCGACCTGAATGTCTGATCCACAAGGGAGTGGAGCATCGTAAGGAGATGCAGTCCCATGGTAACCGGTGGCCAACAATTGATTCATACACCGTTTAATCCCTCAGGACCCTGGAGCCCATGTGCACCATTGTTTTGAAATCCGGTTAAAGCGCCGGACATTCGCTTTTCGTCCTCTCATTTTCGTAAACAACACCCTCGCCACGAGAAGGCAGAGAGTAGGACTTCCCTGGCAGTGGCTGTATACGCGTGGCCGTGTGACAGCATTTCGAGAGGGAGGGTGGGCCCACCCCACTCTCGGCCATACCAGGGCACTTGGGGGCCCATCCCTTATATCCAAATAAAAATGGATTCTCCGCATTTCTATGACTTTCAAAACATATCTTTCAATCACAAACAATCTAGGTTACCAATGTTGAATTTTTATTTATTTGCCTTTGTTTTCTTTATTAGTTGTCTTGTCCAAATTGTTTTTGGTCTGTCAATTTTCTTTTTAGTCAATTCATTTTCCGAAGTGTTACCTACTTTTGGTGTTTACTTGCGTAAAGTTTGTGAAGATGCACCTCACCTCATCCACTTTGTCACGTACTACAATAGTTTACGAGCAATCATCCCGATAATAGATGTCGTTATAGCTAGCTTACCGTGCATGGATGCCATGTGTTGTTACTTATCAGGTAAATAAACTGCTATATCGAGTGTACTTTTTCCTACCTTTTATACACAGCGTAATTTTTTGTAGTTTCAAAACTGCTCCACCGTATGCTTACAGAGAAATATTATTGTCTAGGCTGAAATTTTGATGTGATGCCAAAGCTCGGGAAAGTAAAGCTAAATTTAGGAAAAAATAATTTTTTTCTTCCAATATTCACTCACTGTTCATACTTTCTAGATCCACATATCCTTCCTTCTTTAATACACATTGCTTGTGGTTGTCAAAAACAAAAGTCTGAACTACCTTTGGTTCGTGGAATTTTGGCCGATTTAAATGTATTATATAAAGATATCATCAAATCAATCAGTTCATGTTTAGAAGTAAGATAAAGAATTTTTTATTTTCAAACTTAAATTATTAATTCCATCTTAATTTTAAGTAGAAAATTAAATTCATAATATTAGTCATTGGGAAGAAAACAGTTCAGCTAAATTGTAACTTCTTAGTTAAGATAATGCTAGTCTTAACCGTCTTTCCTCTGGTTGTAAACGAAGTTAGTGTTTTTCTGTATACATGAACTTTAGAACTAGATTTATTTAATTATTATCTCTTTGAACACATAAATATTGGTACAAAGGGGCGCCAAATACATATACGCCAAACAAGTCACTTGATTTGTGTGTGGGCTGTGGTACTGCCCGGGTGCGCAGACCGAAGCAGGTGATTTTCTTAGGGGGCCTCACTCGGAGCCTTCGACCTAAAGGTCTGATCCACAAGACAATGGAGCAACATCAGGAGATGCAGTTGCGTGGTAGCCGGTGACCAACAATTGGTTCACACGCCATTTTTACCTCAGGATCCTCGAGCCCATATGCACCATTGGTTTGGAATCAGGGTTTCCCAACTCCATTAGGTGGATTCTCCATATCCACCAACCCAGTTAAAGCGCTGGACATTCACTTTTCGTCCTCTCAATTTCGTAAAGAACACCCTTGCCACGAGAAGGCAGAGAGTAGGACTTCCCTGGCAGTGGCTGTATACGTGTGGCCGAAACGGAGTTCTGACTCCCCACCCTCGGCCGTACTTTTGGGGGTTATTGATATTACTACTTGGCTTTGTATTTGTGTGAACCTTAGTGATGTATCAGTTTCTATTTGGATCGAAGCAGTGATCATACATTCTTGTCATGACTTTTCAATCGAATTGTATTGACTGAATCAAAGAAATACTGCTGACTATTAGATTGTATTGGTCCCCAACTGCGGGGAGGGAGTTCGTTTTCTTTTTTAAAATGCTCTCATATAGCCGCGTGTATATAGGCAATCCTAAGGAATTCTTCCCAGCTGTATCTGCTACCTTGATGTAGTTGTTAGGCTTGCCTATCGTGATGACAACCGAGATATATTGGTTGGAACACATATTCCTTAAGGTACTACATTGCAAGACGGATTGGTTGGAGAATAGTAAGTGTAAAATCAGCAACTTGCGATCCGAGGGCGAAGTCATACTCCTTACTGTAGATGGTTGTGGCAGCAGTAAGGTGTTTCCTTCGGACAACCAGCACCTTCAGTGATGTTACCTTTTCACAGTGAAAGGAAGGGGTTCGAAGAGGTCGACCATAAAAATGTCACATCTAATCTTACTCAATGGATTTCCGCATCCTGCAGTAAGACCTTTTGAAGTGCGGGGCTAGTACAAAAAACCACCCGTAAAGAAGCCGTGCGCGACCGGCGTCATGCAGTTGTCCTTTGGGCTCTTCAGTCACACTCACAAGTCGCTAAGACCACCACTAATTGAGCTCTTTTAGGTCCCTCAAAGAGAAATATTCTCCCAAGGTTTGTGCAACTGGGAAGTAAAAACCGCCCTCACACCTCTATTAGCACTCGAAGTCATCTTGCTGACTGACTGAGGAAAATCCTATTCACTATCTTCTCGTGACGACGGTATTTACGAAAGTGAGAGGAGAAAAAGTGAGTGTCTGACCCCTAAAGCGTGTTAGTGGGTACGGAGAACACAGGTAGGGGAGTTTGAAAACGCCAATTTCAAACCAATGTTGCACGTGGTTCCTATGATCCTAAAGGGTCGGATTTGCATATAAAACTATTCTTTACCCTCAGCTACCATATGACTTCATTTTTGAACGTTGTTTAACTGCTAATTCAATGATTTGTTGTGTGAAGCATATATATTTTAGTGCTCCTTCGTACCAACATATATGTGCTTAAATAAGTAAATATTGACAGCGGTGCTTTTTTGACCAATAACTATAATCTTAAATGATGCTGCTTCTCCAAAAACGTAAGACTGATGGTGGATGGGACATTATTTCACTTCACAGACTTATGAAGTACCGGAGGTTGGGTTCAAAATGTGTTGGAAAATAACTACCCACAAAATGGTCGTGTTTAATCGACCTAGAACAGTTATCCTTTGGACTGTGTGGTCGTTTTTAGGTTGTCTAAACATGACAATACCAGTCCGGTTTCTTTCCTAGTTTTCAGCGTTTGTAGCTGAAAAATATCAGTCACCTGCATGCTCTTGCATTCTGGTTTGATGTTAGATTGTAACTCCTCCGTATTTTTAAAATCTCTTCGCACAGTTATTTGTATTTTCAGTTACCCGCTCCAATAATTAATCAGTTAGCTTAAGCCGCTATAGATATTGGATTCTACATTGTTCCGTTTAAATTGAGTTCATGAGAATAGCTAAATCTAATTACTCAATACACAAACAGTACATATATTACACTGTCTGTACATTTTTATGCAGCTTACATTGTAAGTTAATCTTTGTCTCGTGCATAAATCGCACTATGTATCAATAAGTTTGTATATTACTGACTACATTTATGAATTTATTTTTTTATCAATAGACAATGGATGATTCAAACATAGCACCGTTAACTACAGGTGAATTACAATGGTTAGCAAACTTGGAAAGTGATGATCAATTTGGATTTCGTGAAGCGTTTGTAAATTGTTGTTTAAATGATGGAGATTCTGAAACTAAAGCTTGTCTTATTTCTGTATGTAATCGGCTAAAGTTACCGAAAATTTTGGAATCAGTAACGACAGATGGTTAAATGTCAGAATGAAATGTTTTAAAACACACATTCAGAGCTAAAAACGACGAGTGGGAAATGAGGAAAAATTTAACACCAACAGATTTTATGAGATCAAAACATCAGCCAAACTTAATTTGCCTTTGTAGATTTTCTATTATTTGATTAAAAAAACTCGTAACACTAATTGTTGCCTTGTTGGTATTTAACGTCAAGTCAGAAAACATCAGTCAGCTACAACGCAGGACCAGGCACATATATGCATCGGTCCAAGTTGCCACACCTTACTCATTAGCACAACAAGATGAACACCGAATTCGTAGAAGTAGTTAATTCAATGGTAGTAATATATAAAAGAAAGATTACATATATGGACATAGTACAGGAAGAAAGAATTATTTAGTAGAAAGAAAAATATAAAGAAATATTAATCTCATAGTTTAATGGAAGACAGAGTGTATACACCTACGCAATTGTGATCGATTCTGAGCCATGTCACACACAGTCTCCAACTATTGGTTACGATAGTCGCGCTGACCCCAACCAAATAGTCGGCATCTACCAACATGGCTAGGATTAGAAGTTAGTGACTTTGTGGACTGATACCACGTTTTGATTTGGCCTCGCCTTACTTTCTTCCAACCATCCCCAACACTAATCAGCATTGTGCGTTGTGGTACTTGGTGTTCATGCATACGTAACACGTGGTCCAACCATCTCAGTCGATGAAGATTCACAACCTCATCAATTGACTTACTATCATTCCCTAGTACACTGTGTCTAACCTCACCATTACTTACTCTGTGATCCCAGCAGATATGGGCAATATTTCTGAGACATCTGTGGTCAAATACTAGTAGCTTACGAATATCTTCTACTCTTAGTGGCCATGTTTCGCAGGTGTAAAGTAGAAGAAAACAAACTGCCACACAGTATACTCGTCCCGTAGTTGATAGAGGGATATTTCGCCTTCGCCATAGGTGATGTAAGTTGGAAAAGCCAAATGGACTTCTTGAATCCGTGCTGAGATTTCGTTCAGAAAAAAAAGATATATACTTTGTACTTGCAACTATGTATATATGCGGTCAAGTATTTCAGCCATATCCATAATGGTCTTTTGTGGAGGATGGGGAAACTTTGTTAGAGATAATTAAGTGAACATTTCTTACCGATATCATATTCTTTGAACTTCCGGTAAAAGTCAACTTGAAGTAGGTGATAATAATTCCGCTCAAAATGAGAGTGATAACTTTGCTTCTAAAAAATTCCTTCATTTTGAAGTTTTATGAGATAATCATGTAGAGAAACATCTACGTGAGTAAATACTGTTATCTATAATTAATCAATAGGAAGGGATTTTTAATCATATTAGATATTTTGATCTGAGGTAATTGGGACTTGCGAAGCCCATTGTGTTGATATACATATTCGCTCATTATTGTATAGATTTAGACCGATTGTTTTGTATCACATATTCTTCATCTTTTCCTGCTTGTTTATTGTTTTCATTTGTTTTTTCCCTCTTGTAGCGTTATGGTATGTGACCATTAAAACTGTTATTTAGTGATAGGTCCCACGTTGCTCCTGTCTGTTTTCGTTTCTGAACTTAATCAACCTTTGGGTGAATGCAAAAGGCACTTGCGTAGACTGTCCTATTAAGCGTTTTTAGATCCTCGATGGTTACAGTCAATCGTTACAACACCATTCTAGATATCACGGAAACTGAACTTTTTAGGGGAAATGGAATTGAGTCACTGTCCACGTATGCACATGTTTGTAGAGTTAAATAAGATTTTGATAGGTAAAAGACCATGTGTAACGATTTTTCTTCAAGCTTTTTTCAAGATGTTCGACGAGTTGTTGAGCTGTATGAATGATACGGTGATAGTTACAATCAATCTAAATAGCTCCAATCGACTACGTTTACTTCATAACACCCATTCTTCCACTGGTCTATATGTATGTGTGAAGACAACATTTGGTTTACTAATTTAAAGATATGTCATTACTTGGTATGTATTTTCAATTAACAAATAAATACACTGACAAGTCAACTATGGGAAATTTAACTGAGAAAATCTGATACTCAATATCTCAGTTGATTTTTATAGTCCGTCTTCAAACTGTTTTTGACACTGATTCAGCAATGGTTGTGCCTGATCATTTTGTATGGACATATTCCAAATTAAACCCATAGCTAATTTGGTGTAACTGGCCAGAAGGTTTCAGGACAGAAAATCGATATTGGAAGCCTCTTCTTTGTTCAAGCCATAGAAAAAGATAAACGTCATTGATGGGTGCAGATTAATTTCATCGCTCAAGCTCGAAACAAATCTTTTTCACTATCATCCACTAGTTTACTAATGAAAGACCACATTAAGTTGATACCAGACTAAATATTAAACTGATCTCACACAAATGAGAGATCACATTCAATTAAGACAAAACGAAGTGTCATACTGAATGGAGTGCCACATGGAATTATCAAATGGCCTCATACATGATGTTTTCCCGATATTTCCTTGGTTGAATACATGAAAATGGCCCGTCTGCTGCTGATAAACTTGGTCAGTTGTTGTCCTTCGTCATTACGACCGGTTGATTTCTATTAGTCCAGTTTTGAAACAAATTAGTTAGTTGGATTGTTCAAAGCGTGTGACACAAAGAACAGGAATTCTCGATAGCGTCACTTTTTCTCACCGACGAACAACCTGAAATCCTGATATGGAACACTGACTTCAGGAGTTTGGAACTACACTGATACCAGGCTTCGAGTATTTCGTACTCGTGATAGGTCATAAGCATCTAACCGATTAATGATGAAGTGGATCATAATGGAGGTTGAAATAAAACAGTACATTTATTTGGCAATCATTGTCGTGTATAGGCAGCTTAGAATGTATGGTAGAATACTGAATGAAATACTTCAAATCGTAGTGCAGATCGCTATTTTATAATAATAAATGTTTAGGTTTGAAGGAATTACTTATTCTATTAGCATGTATGTGACGTAAGTTTTTCTTAGGACAAAATAGTAGTGTATCTAGCTAAATCTTTCTTCAGATAGAAGACTGTCAATATAAATGTAACTGATATTCATGGAATCGTTTACTGGTAACTTTTATTGTCATTTAAATAAGATTTATCTACAAATGATGTAGAGTTAAGTAATGTATACTTGTAAGTCGCATTCATTCAGCTTTGATTAGCAATAGTATATTAGTATATTAAATGTCTTACATTACTACTTGGCAGGTTGAAATGTTTTGGATTAGATAATATCGACTGTACTATGTTATCTGTTGGTAAGGAAAAAATGTCTCCTTTCCAACTGATACTGCTGCTTACCAATTACTATATATACAATCAATTTTCCCTTATCAACCTGCAACATAGTTCTGTTTTGAGAAAGCTTCACATGGTTGTGTACGATTCGACCGAAATGAGAGTGAGGAACTTCTAGAGACAGACTTATTTAAGACCTTAATAAAATTCCTATAATATCTCAACAAAATTATTTCTGTGTGTATTTATTTTATAGAGATCAGTAGTTAAATTCTTAGTGAACCATAGACTAGTCAACTCAAATTAGGTTAAAATCAATAATTTGTCACTAGAAATCAATCAATCAATGGGGTGAAAATAAAAATTTCATGGTTACCGATGCTAATTCAATCTTAGCATTTGTTATATGAAGTCTTGGTTCTGGAAACAACTATTATTTAATACTCATTGATTTTCTTTGGTAATGTACCAGCTAGTGCGAATTTAATATCAAAATCATTCAAAGTTTTTGTGAAACAACCCAAATTAAGGGTACATTAACTTACAGGAATGAAATGTTAAAATACTATAAATAAATATTCTTTACTCCTAATGTGCTGTTACAACTAGTTTTGTGGTATACTGATTATTATGAACTGGTTATACATAAGTTGAAGCAGAACATCAACTGAACTGCATGAAGGTTTTGTACTGCGCTCATCAGATAGAGCCTTATTGAAAATATAATCGCACTTGTACGTTATATAATTAGTCCATACAATTGTGGTTATGCAAATTAGGAGTAGGTTATCATTAGTTAATTAACTGACTCAAAGTTCAATCTTGTTAAAAGATAATTTCTGAGTAAAACGTTTTAACATGACATTGTTTAATCCTATCAATCACGAGTCAGGAGTGTGGATCATTTTGAACATTGTCAAGCATACTTCAACAGAAGTAAACGTTCTTTTGAGTTAATTGAGACCCTAAAATTCATAGATGTATCTTTATTTCAATTGGACATAAATTTTACAGTATCGATTAGGCTTGTATTTATTACTTTTACGGAAAATTTTAAAATGTTTACAGAGCCAATTATCTTGATCTTGAATTAGTGTCAGAGTCTTTTGTTTTATTTAATTCATTTTAAAGTATGACGATAGATTAACATGAATGAAGTGACAATGTTTTTGTTACTTTAGAAACATAATCAATTTTGCAAATGAATTTCAAATTATGTAATATTTTTTATTTGGCTTATTAAAGAAACACACCTAAAATCAATTGAATATTACGCTTACATACGAAATAATCTACTTTATAAAAAAAAAGAAAGAACAAGCCATATGAATGAAATACATTTTAATTTATCAGTTACTATACCAACTGATCATTTAGTTTCAACAAATAACTTTCTAAAATGGTTTCATTATTTTTGTTGTTAGATTACTCCATTTAAGCATAATTCCACAAATATTGTATGATTATGACCCATTGATTGTTTGTTAGTATTTTATGGAACATGTTTGTTTTTACTGAGATCAAAAAGATGATAGATTATCAAGATCCTCTTATATAGATATATATATATGACTTTTTCTTATGTAGTTAAACTGACCAATAAGATATGATTCAATTACTCGATTTCAATTGGTTAATTTTACTCAATTTATGGCATTTCTATAAACGGATGCATATAGTTACTAAGTACATATTTATCATTTGTTCTATATTTAATAAATCAAACAATTATTATTTTGATCGGTGAAAAGAATAAACAATATGACTGGATCTACAAAACCGGATCTTGATCGTTTAGGTTATTTTAGAGAAATGTCTTATGTTACAATTGGTGATCCATATACTGATCTAGGAAAATTTGTTTTCAATGAAGATTCTTGTAAAGGTCGACAATTATATGGGATTAGTACAAAATCAAAATGTGGTTTAAACGATGGATATTTTAGCCCATACAATCGATTATTTATTGGTGAATCATATACGGATATGACAAAAATCAAGCATGAAGAACATTTGAAAGAAAAAATTAAAGAAGGTACAAAAGCATTTCTTCCATCTTCTTGTCCTAAACAACTTATTGGATCTGGAAATTATTGGGGTACATTTTCAGGACCAATTCCATATTTCCGTAATGAATTTATTAAATCAACTAAATCATCTGATGGAAAGAATTTTTACACTTCACCATCTAAAAAAGGTGCTGGATCTAGTTATCCTAATGTAACAATTGGAAAATTACCTGCTTATGTTTCAGAACCATATTTAGATAATATCAATAAAACTAACAAAGATTATAAAAATGCAATACTAGGTCGTAAAAACTTCATTCAATGTGGAAATATTGACTACTTTGGTCCAGATCCATATAAACAACAAAATGGTATTGTCAAAAAACCTCTAAAACCAACAATACAAACGAGAAGAATTACAATTCCATTTAGACCATCTAATCCAGGTAAAGAACCAGGTGGTTACAAAGCTGGTACATTTAATCCATTTCCTAATTATATGTCTGAACCGTATATTGATCCTTATAAACGAATAAAGTCTCATCGAGATGCTAAAGTATTTATTCCATCATCCGGATCTAAATCTGCTCGATTTGATTCAATATTAACAAGAAATGTAAATAAAACTATAAATTCATCTAATTTTGACACTATTAAATCTGTAACTTATTCATGAGATATTCAAGAAAGAAAATATTGTGATTTATGAATGTTAAATGTATGTTCCTAATAAATTTGTCTTCTGTCGAACTATGACAAATATAAATGATTACGTATATGAAAGTATATGAAAACATTGAAAAATTCGAAAGCATAGTTTATAATGACTCTTTTAAAACAGTCTATTATCTGTCAAAGTAAATATGATTGGTAATTGAATGTATTGAAACGTGAATGTAGTTAAAAGCTGTATTATTCGATCTGGTAGAGTACTGACTATCGGTTTCAATTTAATATCTCTTACATTGGTATTTTCATATTATATATTACGGATTTATTACATAGATGGATTCGTTAAATAAGAATTGTATGCCAAACTGTTTAAGTATCGATTAAAAGGATTTTTAGACTCTAAAAGACAATGTTTTCAATTTCACCAACTATTAATGATAATACAGGAAATGAAGATTGGTAACGAAGACTTAGATTTTTAATAACGAATTGTAACATCTTAGAAACAGTAGCTAATATCGTTCTGTTCAGTTTCATCATCAAATTGTTACAATCTTTTAAGGCACAAGAAATATTCGAAAGGAATAAAAATTCGAATTAACTTTTAATTATCTACATGTAGTTAACATTGGTTAAAATATTATCATAGTATTTTGATGGAGTTTTAGAGATGGTGGAGAAGATTTGTAGCTCAGGTGGATGATGGAGTTTTGTTCTCAGAACTAAATGGTTTGGTCGTGCAAATTTCATCATTCTTCTAAACGATATCATCAGTACAAACTCCAAGTAGAAGTTTGTGTTGATGATGTCATTCATAAGAACGATGAAAACTCCGCGACCAAACCATTCAGCTTAGAGAAAAAACTCTGTCAAAATCATCCATCTGTGCTACAAATCTTCTTCACCATCTCATTATCATAGTATATTTGATAATAGTAATAATTCAACCTTCTTGTTTCTCATTGAAATCAACTTATCATTTGAATAGATGATTTTTTGATGAAGATTTATACTTATAATGCACTTTTGTCAGTTGACAAATTATAAGGTGAATAAATCCACACAATATTTAACAATCTATTTTAATGCATAATTTCTAGTGATATATGGTTTGTTTTGGAAAAAGAAACTTTTAAATTTGTAGTTGGTTTGTTGCTTAATAGTACTACTCATTATAATGAGAGTTATTCAACTTTAATCATATTGAAAATATACTGTACAAGGATTGATTCCTTTACGAATCAGCAGTCGAATTGTAATAAAATGTATGGATTCTCAAGTGTGTTAAGTATTAAACTCACATTTAGGTGTAATCGATTGAGCGTTTTGAAAAATGTGAGTCTTTGCTTGAGATTCTTCAACAATATGTACTATAAGTAACGTATATCAGTTCATTTATACGTCTCCTTCACTATTACTATTAGTACTACTACTCGGTTGAAATCTAATGATACTGATAGCGAAAGTTCCTATCACACGTCTTTTTATATTATCAGGAAGTTATTGCGCTAGGATTGAACAAGTATCCAGCGCTTTTCTATTATAGGGCTCAGCACCGATGCGTACCCACGAACCCAACAGGAATCAAACTCAGGACATTTACGTCTTACGTTGGGTATTTAATTTCACATTACGGAATTAAATTTCGATGACTTACGTCCCTAACTTTATTTGTTCATGATATTGTACGACTATCGTCTATTTCTATCAATTACTGTATATAAACAAAGGAGATAGTTGTGAGTGGAGGAAATATGTCTGGTCATTGATATTTTCAAAAAAACACTATTTAGTTACAAAACTATTGGATAGGCCATTCTGAAATTATATGAAGAGATATGAGAAACATTTTTGCAGCACTGAATATGTCTGACAAGTACCATCGTCATTTACAAAAATCCTTTTCTATTTTACTTTAATTATTTGGTAAGTAATACAAATAGTAGGATCGTTGATAGCAATAGAAATGCTAAATTACGCTGAGAACTATGGTTCTCAAAGCCTCAGGGAGGATAAAAACTATCAAATATTATTATTGAATGCCGTTATAACACTTTAGAAATGGAGTAATAACTGAGCTAAGTTCTAAAGAAGACTATCATTATGTTATAAGATATGTTCACTGTAATTAGATATCAATGTTCCTGTATTCACAATCGGTAGAGTAGCTACTGAAAAACTTTAAATACTTCTTAAAGAGAGCAAGAACAAAGATTGGTGCAGAATAATATGAATTCATTTTATTTCGTTAGATTCTCATCAGCTGCTTACAACCTAAAATATTTAAAATTCAACATTATTACAAATATTGACATACTTATACATAAGAGAGTGATTAAGGATGAATAAATGTATCATGGTGTAGCGAAGATTCCGATAGTTAATGAGGTCATAAAGTTTTTTGTCTCGAATAAATAAAGTTTGAGAGGGAAAGTTTCGGAACATTAAAATAGTGATTAGAACTCATGAAAATAGGTTAATGGTAATAAAGAAAATCTGAATTGAAATCAGTCAGTCATGTATGATGTAATTTGAACTTCAGAAAGAGTTGGAATAATGACCCAATAAATAAACAAAGAAATAAATAAGTATAAATAAATGAATAAAAAAAGGGGGGTATTGTTACCAGGGTAAAGAAAGTTAATCGCATACTCCATCAATACATTAATTGAACATACTGTTGTAATTCTAACTATTAAACCTCTGATTTTCATATCTAGGTTGAAATCATTCCAATACCTTTAAAATTTCCATTTCTTTTTCAAACTCAAATCCTTTCAATTAAACCTATCACGTAAAGAACAAACTTGATAATCCATTTATACTATAAATAAGCTGAATTCTTTTGTTTAAAACTTTCGTTTTAGCTATTTTCATATTCCCTGTCATTATTTGCAATTTTGTATATCATTAATTTACATTTGCCAAATGAAATGTTCATCACATGGCAGTCTTTGTAAACTTTCGATTTCCACTTAATGGTGAATTAATATTTTAATAACTACTTGATAGTTTATGGGGGAATGTTAAAACATTGTCATGCTATCTTGTTTGAATATTTTTTATAGACAAAAGAATAATTGTGATTTCACTAAAATATACTTATTCCATCGATTTACAGTTTTCAGGTTAGGCTTTATTACACTAATAGATTATCTAAATGACAGATTCAATCACATAATCCTTGGATTGGGATTCTTCTATTTCTTAATACTAACCGCTATTTACATCAATTAATCTCTTGAACCAAGTGTTAAGAAAGCATCTTTCAACGTAAAAAGAAATTATAATTATCAATTAGTTTCAAGTAAGCAAGCCGATTAAGACCAAATTTCTGTGGCTCAGAAGTCAAGGTTAGCTATTAAACCGCAATTACGAACCCAGCTCTATCGATTGTGGTTTATGGTAACCGAGTAGTATCATTAACCCAGAACCAAGTATACTAATCTGCATCGGAATGAATAGAACAAATAAACCGTTGTTTAATTTTGTTCCAATATTTTTCAGAAATGTTTAGTCATCATTCTACTTAGAATGAATTTTCCATTATTTTCTAGTTTTCACAGTTAATAGTATGAAAGTTAATTTTAATTTATTTCTATTATGTAGTACTTTATTGTTGTAATTAACATAAATGAATTTTGAATAAATAAAAGTTTATAAGATGAACTTTCCAAATAGCGGTCTTGTACTTAAGTGTTTCACTTATCCAATTCATGACATACCGAAATTGATTAGATATTTGACATTTATACTTTATCTAGTTGTTACTTTTACTTTGGATTTATAAAATTTATATATGTGAACTAAGTTTTCAAAATATATGATCATTTTATCAACATGGTATTGTGAAGATTATATTTTTGGTTGAGTTCATGAATTGATTGGTGTTAGATCATCATTGAAAACATGGAAGCACTGCTGATAAGCCCAATACTAGAACGAAACGGCTGTTCAGTGCTTTCATATTTTCCATGGTGGTCTAATACCGATCATTTCATGATCTCAATCAAAAAATAATCATTTTAATTGAAAAAAACAACAACTTAGCAGCGAATAGTATATTCATGAATTTAGATGAGATTTTTGAGAAAAAAAAGTTTCCTTTTATTATTTTACTGTTAGGAATAAAATTAACACTAAATTTCTAGAAAAAATATATGTAGAATAATTATTGAACAATAAATCATCTTAATATTATTGGATGGATCAAGTGTAATAAAATAATCGGTTGTTATCGTTAAAGATCAGAACTCCTAGGACTCTCAATTAAGCTTCTGTATGGACGACTGATATGACGGTTGCCTACTCACGGAGTCTAATAATCAGGAACATGGTAAATTGGTAATTAAGTGATACTAATCAAAAAATTATGAAGATGCGTATAAAATGTCCAAGTATACAATAACTGAATAGTTTTTAACTAGGTCTATGTATCCAGTAGGTACCCAGAAAACTGGATACGATCAAACTAAAAAATTAATTATATTGAGAGCTATGAATCGTACAACAAATTGCTTGTCAATAGGAAAAAAACTGTCCTTGTTCAGGAATGAAACTATTACCAAAAAAGATGATAGATCCGTTTAATTCACTCCGATGGTGAATATTCAAAGTATACAATAATTATGTTGAACGAAAATCAAGAATCACATTACTAATTACTTGTCAATAAAAATAAATTTTCCTAACAATTAGAAAACGAAATTTCAATTCTTTGCGGATAGAAAGAAGAATGATAGAGGATTCAGTCGCTTGGTACAGTAATCGTTAGAATATATGGTCAAGTAAAACAAAATTAACATGGTCAGAGAAAATGAAACAGAATCATAGAAATGGTCAAAACCAAAAACTGAGACTAAATAATAATTACGGCCGAACCAAAACATGAACATTATACACATAAATACAGGCAGTTGGGAGATGAAGTAACACGTAAGGAGAGACAAAAAAGTAGTCATATGGAATGCATACATTGAAGAACTTTCTCACACATGCATGTATGTACATACAGAATGTTTATTACAATCATAGCCACATAATGTTAACTGCGGATATCAGGATTTGTATGAGATCGGTTACGTAACAAAAATTACACTACGTTAAACTTATCATCAGTGTAAAAAGTATCAGCGACGGTATTTTTCGATTAAAAGAGTTATCAAGTTGAAACTGATAGTTGAGTGATTTCACAACGATGAATTAAGTTTATGCTACTGAATAATAAAAACGTTGAAGTGATCAAAATGCTCTTTAATTGATTTACTTACGACCGACCCTCATCAACAAGCTCTCTCAAACTAAAAG